GGGTTTCGCCGGGGGGGCGCTGCGCGATATCGGCAATTTCGCAAACCGCCGGGGACAATCGGAATCCCTTCGGCGGTTTTAACCGCACAACGTCTGACTATGAAGGAAGGCCTCGCGGGAGCGCGATATCTTATCGGCATGGCTATTGCTATTTATCACGGATCGTGCCCTTGCTTGCTCTGCGCGCGCGCAAAGGCGTTCTCTTCTGCGCGCGGCGCGCCGTGCGCGCGTGCTGCGTGGCTCTGAACGCGCGAGCGCTGCGCGCGCTGTGCCGCGCGCGGCGCCGCGCGCGCAGCGATCGCGAAGGCCGCGCCCATGGCGCGCGCCGCGCGCGGCGTGCCGTGCGCGATGTGCACCGCGTGCCCTGCCGTGCCGCGCGTCACGCGCCGTGCCCCCGCGTGTGGCGCGAGCGTTTCTGCGTCGTGCCGCGTGTGCTTCTGGCGCCGGACCGCGAGCGCCATGTCTCGCCCGGCATGGCGCCTGTGGCGCAGCGCCAATTTCTGCGTCACTCCTCCTCCCCCTCCTTCCCTTTTCCTCCTTCCCCCCCCTCCCATCTACACGCATGGGGGGGCCCTGAGAAGGAGGGCAGGAGGGGGGGGATGCAACGAGGAGGGGAAGGATGGCGGAGGGTGAGAAGGAGGGGGAGGAGACGGAGCGGCGGAGGAAGGAGAAAGAGGGGGGACGGATACGATATAATAGGACATAACGGTAACGGAGGCAGGATCGACGCACGAGCCCCCCTTCAGAGATTTCCTGGAAGGCGCGCGCAGAGGTCCTGTTCCGTGAGCGGGCCTGGAGAAGGCTGGCGTCGGTGCATAGGTGGCCTCCGAGGTATTCGCCCCCATGGGTTCACAAGTCCTCGGAGGTCTTTTGGGCGTGCCTGGAGCTGCCGTTTGTTGATATTGTGCTTATGTGTGATATTCATCCAGTGCCCCGCCCTCTACGGTTAAAAATTCTGTCGTTTCTTAGCTTGCATATGGAGGAACCAGCTCCCAGGAACACATGACTTCCTAGTGAGCAGCGACAAGGGCTGCGCTTGCGCGCGGGCCTTGCGAGCCACGCAAGTCTTCTCTGGGGTCCTTCGCCGCGCAAGCCGCGCCGCAGGCCGCGGCGCCGCCCGCCGCGCCCGCGCCTCCCAGGCGGCCGCCGGCCAGCCGGCAGCCGGGGGCTTGCCCATCGGGAGCCTGCCCATCGGGGGCCTCGCCTTGTCCTCCCTTCCCCCCCTCCCACCTAGATGCAGGGGGTCCCGAGGAGAAGGGCAGGGGGGGAAGTGGCAAGGGGAGCAGGGGGGGGGGCGGAGGAAGAGGAGAAGGAGACGGAGGGAGGGGGGGGAGGGATAAAGGGGACTAATCTTATAAACTTAACGAAAATAGCAGGCAGGGTCGACGCGCGGGCTCCCCTCAGAGATTTCCTGGAAGGCGCGCGCAGAGATTCTGTTCCGTGAGTGGGCCTGGAGAAGGCCAGGGTCGGTGCACAGGTGGCCTCCGAGGTATTCGTTCCCACGGGCTCACAAGTTCGGAGGTTTTTGGGCGCGCCTGGGACTGCCAGTTGTTGATTTGGTGTTTTTTAGCGATATCCATGCAGTGCTCCGCTGGTTTCAAATTCTGTTGTTTCTGAGTTTACATATGAAGGAACGGTTCGGTGACTTCGCGAAGGCCGCCTCGAAAGACAAGGGCGGCGCTCTCCGCTTCCAGCGGGTCCTGCTGGAGGACAAGGGGAGCGCGCCCGTCCAGGAGATGCTGCTGCGCCAGTGGGTGGAGAGCACCAAAAACCAGTTCCCAGGAACGCGGGGCCTCGGAGTGAGCAGCGACAAGGGCTGCGCTGGCGCGTGGGCACTGCAGTCCACGCGGGTCTTCCCCGGGGAATTCGCCGCGCAAGCCGCGCCGCAGGCCGCGGGGCCGCCCGCCGCGCCCGCGCCTTCCAGGCGGCCGCCCGCCAGCCGGCAGCCGGGGGCCTGCCCATGAGGCCGTGGTTCCATGGAGGGGGCGCTGCAATGTAAAATGTCGTCACCGCGGCTAGGCCGCGGCGACGACATTTTACATTGCAGTGCTTGCCCGCGCGCGGCCCATTGGTCCTATTGGGCAGGCCCCCGGCTGCCGGCCGGCTGGCAGTCGCTGGAAGGCACGGGCGCGGCGGGCGGGCCCGCGGCCCGTGGCGCGGCTTGCGCGGCATGCTCTCCAGCGAAGACTTGCGTAGACTGCGAGGCCCGCGCTCCAGCGCAGCCCGCGTCGCTGCTCGCTCCGAGGCCCTGTGCCCTTGGGAACTGGTTCATGGCGCTTTCGACGAACTGGCGCGGCAGCGTCCCCTGGGCAAACGCACTCTCCTCGTCCTCCAGCAGGACCCACTGGAAGCGGAGAGCGCCGCCCTCGTCTTCCGAGGCGGCTTTCGCGAGGTCGCCGAGCCGTTTCTCCATCCGTGAGCTAAGAAACAACAGAATTTGAAATAATAGAGGGTGGAGTCTTGAATGAAGAGCATACTTTATATACTAAATCAACAATTG